AATGAAGAGAGTGGGGAAGATGAGGAAATGGTTGACAAAGATGAAAAGGTGGTGGGTAAGTTGGAGGAGGTTCCTGTAGACAGTGAGGAGGATGCAAAGTCAGAGAGTTCTAGGGATTTTGGTGAGAAGTTAGCATCAATTAGGTTTAGATCTCTTCCTCCAAACACAGAATCTAACATGATGTTGGCTTTGCCTAAGAAGTTTAAGGCTAAACCTGGACAATTAGAGCAGCTTGAGGGGGATGTAAAAGACTTATCTGAGCCTGCTGTGATGGTAACAGAAGTGAGCAAGTCAAGGGAGGAAGTTGGTAAGTCTATCCAGGTGGTGAAAACCTGCAATGGTGAGAAAGTGGTGCTTCAGTCACTATATGTCAGTGCCACTGGAATGGGTGTCCTTTGACAAAAGTCTCGATTGACAATGGGGTTATTGTGAATATTTTGCCTACCAGGATTTTAAATATAATTGGTAAGTCAGTAGATGATTTGATTCCTACTAATGTATCTATGAGTTATTTTTCAGGAGGTTCTTTTGATACAAGAAGGGTGATTGTCCTACAATTGCAAGTTGGGAATAGAATGATGGGAGCAACATTTTTTGTAATAGACTCCACCTCAAACTACAATTTGCCACTTGGAAGGGATTGGATTCATTCCAATGATTGTGTGCCCTCATCTCTTCATCAGGCCCTGATTTTCTTGACAGTAGAAGGCCAGGAAGGGAAGGGCATGGAAGTTTTCTAGGCAAAAGTGTTGATTGAAGAAAATCAAGCAGACACTTCCATAATGTGGAGGCTATGCTGTATGCAGAGGAGTTTAGCCCTATGGTGTTGGAAAATGAAGAATTAAGATCAATGGGAATTGGTTTGACTTATGACCAATTTCAGAAGTTCATTGAAGAGGGTTTTCAACAGATGAGCAAGGAACTAGCCAGGCCAAGTGTTTTGAAGACCAAGCCTATAGATGAAGTGTTGATTGAAGACACTACCAATGAAGATAAAGATGAGTGAAAGTGAATTTGATTCAGTTGTAATTAGGAGTACTTTTATTAGGCTTTTTTATTTCTTTTTAGAAAGAAGGTTAGGTGGTATATTGCCTTAGTGTTTTTGGGCGAAATGTGTGATAGATGATCACCCCCTAGATTATAAAGAGGTGCAGTATGGAAATCTAAAGGCAGCTTCTACAAAGCTTGATGATCTCGAGGCTGATGTGCAGGACCCTTTAGATGAGTTTAATTTAGGGAATGAGGCCTATAAGAGGCCTATCTATGTAAATGCTTCACTATCTAATGAATGTAAAGTCAAGCTAGTTTAGGTTGATTTCAGATTATTCTGATTGTTTTGCTTGGAGTTATGATGAGATGCCTGGTTTAGACAGGTCTTTGGTTGAATACAAACTCCTAATTAAGCCAGACTACGTACCACATAAGCAGCATGCTAGGAGAATGACAAATGAAGTCACTCTTATAGTGAAAGATGAAATTGAAAGGTTTTTAAAAGTTGGTTTTATTAGAACAGCCAGATATGTGAAATGGTTGTCTAATATAATTCCAGTCCTTAAAAAGAATGGCAAGACAAGGGTTTGTATTTATTTTAGAACTTTGAATATGGCTACACCTAAAGATGAATATCCTATGCTAGTTGCAAACTTGTTAGTTGATTCAGTTGCAAGGCATAAGATCTTGTCATTCATGGATGGGCATGCTGGCTACAATTAAATCTTTCTCAATCCAGATGATGTTCATGAAACTGTATTTAGATGCTGTTAGTAAAATTATGCTTATTCCCATTCGACAAGGATTAAACAACAATTCAAACCAAACAATCAAACAAGAATAACCAGGGAACTGTGTAATTGATTCAGATGCCTTAAAGGAATGAGAACTTCTCTGGAACAATTGATAGTTACAAAATAAACAAAAAGGAATTTCAAAAGTGAAACTATTGAAGTTCACAAAGTTTACAAATTACAGTGATGAACTACTCCTATTTCGAAAGAGTACTCCTACAATAAAACTAAATCTAGAGCTATGTGTTGTTGAGCTGATATGTCCTTTCTCCCTGGCAATTCCTGGCCTTTATGACTTCCCGTCTTTCTTTGGCCCATGATTGCATGTTCTCCCTGATTGCTGCAACTACCTTTGTTTAACTGTTGTAACTGCTCCTTCACTTCCAAGCCCTTAAACTTCACCAATTCTTCATCTCTGCTTGTCGAACCATCTTCCCTTCATAATGCCACGTGTCCTTCAATACTTTGGACTTCTGATTGACAGAGCCAAATCCTTACTCTGCACATGCTCACTTCTACAACAATCCACCAAGTCCATGACTTAATCTTAACCTAGCAACTGCTCCATTACCTAGACCACTTATTGCACTTGACCCATTCCTCTAATGCCATATGTCCCCTTGACTGGTAAAAGACTCTCACTTTGACTTTGCCACATGTCACCACCTGGTTAATCCACCCATTGACAAGAATTTGACAAAAATAGGTGTAAACAATGCCCCCCTTGTTTAAGTTAAATTAATAAAATAGTTTAATTTAACTTAAACAAATCTCTTTCTTAGGCCCAAATGAATATCTATTTAATTTGAATAACACCATGTAATGGGCCCATCATAAGCTATAAAAGCTCCAACTCTTTCAGTCCATTTCTCTCTTCTTCGTAATTTTCATATCAGAACTCACAAACCTTACAACCCTAAACAAATGGCTCCCAAGAAATCAAAAACTACTAAGGACGATGAACCCAATGAAGAGCTCATTCGATTCCCAAATTCCATAAGAGAATTCATTACTCCCGTGAAACTAGATGTAACTTTACTCCCAAACATTATCATTGTTGCCAAAGCAACCCTAGGTCCTACATTCTTAACCTACTTTCCAGATGAACTATCTCCATACTACCCACTTGCCAATGCCAAAAACCTGCTCCTTAACCAATCCAAACTCAATTGGACCAATTGGGATAGCAGCAAGAACCCTCTCAAATCATGGTGACAACTAGACCTCACTTGGCAAAGTTGGGTCAAGCGAATTGAAGCTCATGACTCAGATGTATGGAAGCATCTAGGCATTAGTGAGGTAATTCGACTGTCGACCTTGAAATTTGACATGAATAAATGGTTGATTGCTGCTACTACTTGTTTTTTGTCTCAATCATGTAATTCTATGTTGTTGGTTTGGGATGATATCGCTAACTATTCTTGATGTAGCCCACTTGACTGGACTTCCCATCCTAGGATTAGAAATCAATGCCTTGCTAAAGCCTCCATCAGTGATCTTCACCCTCAACACTGATACGAGTTATACTGAGTTTACTAAAAAGTACAAGGGTAATAAGATCTCCCTTGTCAGTGACCAAGAAAGGGCAGCTTTTTATTTAGTTCGGCTTTGCTAATTCTTATTTTGTGTTCCTAGTTACAAAATCACCAAGGAATATCTCCCACTAGCTTTATGCCTACAAGATGGCCAAGCCATTGCATTAGCCCTTACCTACTTGCTGCCTTATACAAAGTTATGTTTTCCCTTGTTGACAAAAAGATATCTGCCAACTGTGGAGGGCTATTTTGGCTTTTCAGGCCTGGTTGTATGCTTATTTCCCAGAAGTACAACCTCTAAAACCAAACATCATGATGCCAGTCCATTGCTCTTATGCAAAGTATTTCTTGACGTTAGTTGATAAGCCTAATCGTAGCTTCTCCCAATACCTTACCACATTTTTCAATCTTCCATTTGGTAGAAACCCTCTTCGCTTTAGGCCATTCCACCATTGTCAATTCTCTTCTTCTAGGTAGATCATCTTTCCAAAAATCCATCCACTTTGACAACTGACCAAATAAAGTCCCAAGTTGAAACATGGAAACATGTTCTCTCTTGTAGACATATTCTTGTTGGCTGCTTCATTTCTTCTACAAGAATGAATAGCTGTAGCTTTGAAACCTATTGTCCAAACCAATGGACAAGACAATTTGGTCTTACCTAATGCACTCCATACCCTTACTTTCATCCCACTATTTATGAGGACATAGGATCAAGAATCAGCATCAAAGACCCCTCACAAGCAAGACGGATCCAGGCAGCAAATGAAGACATTCTTAAGAACTTTGGTCCCTAGTTCTTTATGCGTGTCTCTGATCTCAATAAGGGTTTTGAGCATTGGTGGAATGTCATGGCTGTAGTTATCTTTTCTAAACCCCTTGAAACTTGCCTCAAGGACACATCCATTGATAATCAAGGCTCTGAACTACCACCCCCAAATCTCAAAGTTATAGGTGAAACTTAACTTTTAAGCCATCAAACTCATAGTTTTTTTTTTTTTTTTTTAACCTCCAACATTTTTAATGTATCTACCTTCTTGCAGCCAAAATCACTTCTATGGTGCCTCCTCCTGCTACTGAGACTCTAATTAGAGACCAAAGTAAAGGTAAAGCACCAATAAACCCAAATGCTAGACCAGATGCCCCTCCTCTTGTACCTAAATTCGTGAGAGACTTCATCACAGCTCTCCAAGCACAAGAACAGAGAAAGCCAAGGACCAACCAATCACCTTCAAAGGAAGTAAGAACTGAAAAGAAGCAAGAACCTCTTGTTACCTCATTGCCTGAAGAAAACTTCAAGCATAAGAACAGAGAAGGCCAAGGACCAACCAATCACCTTCAAAGGAAGTAAGAACTGAAAAGAAGCAAGAACCTCCTGCTACCTCATTGCCTGAAGAAAACTTCAAGCATAAGAACAGAGAAGGCCAAGGACCAACCAATCACCTTTAAAGGAAGGAAGAACTGAAAAGAAGCAAGAACCTCCTCCTACCTCATTGCTTGAAGAAAACTTCAATCCCTCCTTCAATGAATGGGATGTTCCACTAAGCCACATGCTTGGCCAAACAACCAAAAATCCTTCAAATCATACTTATCAAGTACAATTCCTCACTTCTAAGCTCATATCATTTTTTGAAGAACTAACTAAATCTTAACTTCAACTTGTTCTTTGCAGAGAAAAATAATGAGAGTTCTTATCTCAATTAATGTTGAAGAAGAAGAAAGCCCCACTACATCTCCTAAAGAGACTGTTCAAAACCATTCCCAAACTTCTAAGAGTGAGCCAAACATTCCAATCACAGACCAACCTGCCCCACATACTAGTCCTGAACCACCTCCTATTAATCTTGAGGATGTAACCCTTGGAGCCTTCCCTATAAAGGTCCTCTATCTTGGAGAAACTGAGCCCATCAAATTTCCATCAGTTTTCTTCCAAAATCCCTCTACATCTGATTCTACTGGTTCTCAAGATGAACAACCAAAAAGGATTAACCTTGACCCATCCACAAATAGTGAATCATCTCCCAACAATCCTCACATTCCTTCCAAGGACCAATCAACTAGCCCTCCTCAATCTGAACCACCAACCAATTACCCATGGTTGGTAAACCCTCCATTGTTATTTTATTGCTATCCCCTTTCAATTAATTCTACTAACTCCTTATTTCTCATCATAGGGGTAGAAACATCAATTGAGAAGACTTCACTCACTAACCCTAATTTCACAAATGAACCTGACATGGCTTCTAAAGTTGCAAACAAAGAAACTACTGAAACAGTGTATAGGAACATTGGAGGCACTCCCCTTTCAACAACAAATGAGCTTCCTATTTCAACCAACACTGAACAACCCCATGTCTCAACAATTGAACAAATTCCAATTGTGGAACCCACAACTCAACCTATAGTCATCCCAACTTCTACTAAGGTGTAGGAAATGTTTTTTTTTCCCCTCACATTCTGTCTTTTCTTAACTAATATTTCCAATTCTTACTCAATTTTGACTGTCGACAGGTTTCAATCCCTATTGCATCAATCCCTCAAAGGCTTCATCAATTCAACCCTGAGGTTCAATAGCTTTTAGCCTCATTTCTAAACCTCATCAATTCCCCCTGGAAGAAATAGCTTGAACATAGCCTAATGAAGCTTTGAATTGCCTGACTGCTATCCAAAACCTATCTCTCAATCCTTTCAATCCAAACTAACTCAAATACTTGGCCAGAATCATTGCTAGATAGCCAACTATTCTAGAGATGATCTAAAGTTGTACTAAAGAGATCCAAACCAAGAAACAATTTCTAGCTACTGCTCAGACTATCTCCAACTCTCTAATGCTCACTTGCCAGAATTCTTCTAACTCATCTGAACAAGACAAAGTATAAGCACTTGAAGAAGCTAGACTTGAAACAGAACTATCTCTTGTCAAGCAAAAAAGACTTCAACTCCAATAACAAAAGGACCAACTTGGCCATGAAGCTAGGACTTTGCTGGCAAAGATAGGAAGTAGCCCATCCACCATTCAAACCACTAAGGCAGAACTTGACAAAGCCCAAGCCATGGTTGCAGATGCCCAATCAGAATGGGGCACTCTTGCAATACTTTTTCCAAGAGACTACATACATTTTTTTTCTTTGTTTTTTGTTCTTGTAAATATTTTGAACAAGCTTCAGGCTTCTTCTTCTTCTTCTTCTTCTTCTTCTTCTTCTTCTTCTTCTTCTTTCTTTTTGTAATTATCTTGGACAAGTTCTTTTGCTCTTGTAAATCCTTGACAATTTCGTCAATTTTAATGTTTGATCTTTTGATACTTTGCTACTTCAAGCCTTTCCTTATTAACTTCTTTTGAAACTCTCCCACATAGTTGGGTAATATTTCTTTAAATATTTCCCATTTATGTTTTTTCTATGTGATTGCCCTTCCAAGGACTCCAATTGGCATGCTCCTCCTTTGAGGACCTTATGGACTCTAAAAGGCTCTTCCCAATTTGGAGACAGACCACTTGCCAAACTCAGTATCTTTTGTCCCCAAAGGCAAGATAGTTTTCCAAACCAAGTCACCTTCACCAAAAGTTTTTAACTTAACTTTCTTATTATAAACTCTCTCAATCTTCTTCTTTTGAGCTATCATACAATTAAAAGTATCAATTCTCTTGCCTTCTACATTATGTAATTCTACGAACATGGCTTCATTATACTCATCGACAGGAATACATGATACCTAACCACCCTATTAGACCTCACTGTTACCTCTAAGGATAACACTGCAGCATGACCATAAACTAACTCATAAGGGGAAGCATGAGTGCTATCCCTCTTAGAATTTCTATATGCCCACAGTACCTCAGACAACCATTAATGCCAATCCCTTGGGTTGTCCTCTATCACCTTACTCAATGTGGCTCTAATTGTTTTATTTGATGACTTTGCTTGCCCATTTGTTTGGGCATAATATGGGGATAAATTGAGTATCTTAATACTATACACTTTGCCAAACTCCTTAACTTCATCACCATTAAACATTGGCCTATGGTCGACAGTGATAGTCTGTGGCAACCCAAATCTATGAACTACATGGTTCTTAATGAAATCAATCACATGAGACTGATTTACTACTTTCAAGGGGACTGCTTCCAACCACTTAGTAAAGTTATCAGTTGCCACCAATATAAATGAGTGTTGTTTTGATGAAGGGAGAAATATTTGGCCAATCAAATCCATTGCCCAACCTTTAAATGGGCAAGGCTTAACAATTGAATGCAAATCCATTGTTGGCACCTCATATATATTGCCATGCTTTTGGCATTGTTGGCACCCCCTTGCATAACTAATACAATCCTTTCTCATTGAAGGCAAAAAATAACCATGTCTCTTAATCAACCACCTCATATTTTCACCAGCTTAATGAGCACCACAAATGCCTTCATGCACTTCTGTCATGACTTGTATTTGCTCTAGCTCTCCAATGCACAACAAAACTAAACCATCATGGGTTCTTCTAAACAAATCATCGTCCAAAATGACATAGTTTATGGCCTGATATCTTGTTTTCCTATCCACTACTGCATCTGGATTACTTAAATATTTAATCAGTGATGATCTCCAATCATCCTCTGCCACCCCTAAAACAAAAATTGATACACTTTGTTGTTGTTGACACTTAGCACAATGCATCATTCTCTTTCGAATTCTTACAATCCTTTCTTGAAAACAATCTGGAATTTTTAAACCAGATGTTGCTTGGGCCATCTTATTAGCCTCTTTGTTTTCAAGCCTAAACATATGTTTAAATTCTACTGATTCAAAACCCTTGACCAATTCTAAAACTTGATCTAGGTATTCCCCAAGTACTGTACTATTGCACTTGTATTGACCTATAACTTGCCTTATCACCAGTTGTGAATCTCCAAACACTCTTAAGTGTGGAATTCTGAGGCTTCTTGCCAACTCCAAACCACTAATCAAAGCTTCATACTCTGCTTGGTTATTTGATTGCACTTGGGCCTCATCCAATTGATAAGAGGATTGAAACACTTGTCCTTGAGGTGCTACCAACACCACCCCATCACCTACACCTTCTCCAGTCATCAAACATCAACTTCCATGGCTTCATTTCGACTGAAAATACTTCATACAAGTCTATTTCGACAGGGTTACAAGGATGTTCAGCTAAAATGTCTGCCAATGCTTAGCCTTTCATAGCTTTCTGAGGAACATACTTAAAACAATACTCAATTAAAGCAAGTATCCACTTCCCCTTAAGACTGGCCTTGATAACATATACTTTATCACATATGTTTGAGCAATCACATTAACTTATGAAGGCAACATATAATGTCTTAACTTGATTGCTGCGAAATACACGGCCAAACATAATTTTTCCACAAAACTATACCTAGTTTCTGCTTCATTCAGCTTTCTACTTAAGTAATATATAGCCTGCTCACACTCATTTTCTCATTGTCTTGTGCCAAACAAAACAACAATTGATTGTTCCGCTGCTGAAATGTACAATTTCAAGAGCTTTCCTCTGATAGGTGGCATCAAGACTGATTGTTTGGACAAATAATATTTTATTGAAGCAAATGCTCTTTGATGCTTACTCTCCCACTTAAATTCCTTATCAGATTTCAACTTTAGTAAGGGAGAAAATGGCAATGCTTTTCTTGCCAAATTAGCAATAAATCTTCTCAAGAAATTTATTTGTCCAAGGAAACTTTGCAATTCCTTTTCATTAGATGGGGGTTGCGTTGCCTTAATGGCTTTGGTCTTGTTTAGGTCCACCTTTATTCCCTTCTGATGAACCAAAAAACCCAAGAAGTCACCAGCAAAAACCCAAGGGAGTCATCCTTAACTAATAGGTCCTCTTCCTTTGGAAGACCTGTCGAAGATGGTCCAAATGCTCATTAAACTCATCTAATTTTATGGTCGATCATCAATATAAACCTCCAAAAACTTCCCAATCAAATCAAGGAAGATAAAATTCATAACCGTTTGATAGGTGGCCCCTGCATTCAGAAGCCCAAGAGGCATCACCACCTATTCAAAAGTTCCTAAGGCCCCTGCCCATCTAAATGCAGTTTTATGAACCTCATCTGGATTAAGAGAGATTTGATTGTAACCAGCATACCCATCCATGAATGCCAAGATCTTATGTCTTGTAGCTGAATCAACTAAAAAGTCTGCAACTGGGCAAGTTATAGGGATAGCACTCAAGCTTCCCTATATGAGTTGGTTTATGGTCATGTTGCAGTGTTACCCTTTGAGGTAACAGTGAGGTCTAATAGGATGGCTAGGCATCATGATATTCGTGTCGATGAGTATAATAATGCCATATTCATAGAATTACAGGATGTAGAAGGCAAGAGAATTGATGTTTTTAATTGTATGATGACTCAAAAGAAGAAGATTGAGAGAGTTTCTAATAAGAAAATCAAGTTCAAAACTTTTGGTGAAGGTGACTTGGTTTGGAAAACTATCTTGCCTTTGGGGACAAAAGATCCTAAACTTGACAAGTGGTCACCAAATTGGGAAGGGCCTTTTAGAATCCATAAGGTCCTCAAAGGAGGAACATACCAATTGGAATCCTTGGAAGGGCAACCACATAGAAAAAACATAAATGGGAAACATCTGCAAGCATGGCTTGGGCTTTGTCAAGTTCTGCCTTGGTGGTTTGAATGGTGGATGGGCCACTTCCTATCTTTGCCAACAAAGTGCTAGCTTCATGGCCAAGTTGGTCCTTTTGTTGTTGGAGTTCAAGTTTTTTCTGCTTAACAAGAGATAGTTCTGTTTCAAGTCTAGCTTCTTCAAGTGCTAATGCTTTGTCTAGTTCAGATAAGTTAGAAGAGTTTTGGCAAGTGAGCATTAGAGAGTCGGAGACAGTCTAAGCAGCAGCTAGAAATTGTTTCTTAGCTTGGATCTCTTTAGTACAACACTGGGTCATCTCTAGAATATTTGGCCATCCAGCAATGATTCTGGCCAAGTATTTGAGTCAACTTGGATTGAAAGGATTGAGAGATAGCTTTTGGATAGCAGTCAGGCAATCCAAAGCTTCATTAGGCTGTGTTCAAGCTATTTCTTCCAAGTGGGAGTTGATGAGGTTCAGAAATGAGGCTAGAAGTTGTTGAACCTCCGGGTTGAATTGATGAAGCCTTTGAGGGAGTGGTGAAATGTGTTTAAGGCTTTTCTGAAAGCCAACAATTTCGTCCCATATGCTCAGAGTTGATGCAATAGGGATTAAAGCCTGTCGACAGTCAAAATTGAGCAAGAATTGGAAAGTATTAGTTAAGAAAAGACAGAATGTGAGAAGAAAATAAAATAACATTTCCTGCACCTCAGTAGAAGTGGGGATAAGTGTAGGTTGAGTTGTGGGTTCCATAGTTGGAATTTGTTCAACTATTGAGACTTGGAGTTATTTAGTGTTGGTTGAAATAAGAGGCTCATTTGTTGTTGAAAGGGGAGTGCCTCCAATGTTCCTATCCACATTTGGAGTAGCTTATTTGTTTGCAACTTTAGGGTCCATGTCAGGTTCATTTATGAAACTGAGGTCAGGAAGTGGAGCCTCCTCAATTGATGTTTCTGCCCCCATGATAAGAAATAAGGAGTTAGGAGAATTAATTGAAAGGCGATAAAAATAAAATAACAATGGAGGGTTTACCTACCATGGGTAATTGGTGGTTCAGATTAAGGAGGGCTAATTGATTGGTCCTTGGAAGGAATGCGAGGATTGTTGGGAAATGGTTCACCATTTGTGGATGGGGCAAGGTCAATCCTTTATGGTTGTTCATCTTGAGAACCAATAGAATTAGATGCATAGAGATTTTGGGAGAAAATTGATGGAAATTTGATGGGCTCAGTTTTTGCAAGATAGAGGACCTTCATGGGGAAGGCTCCAAGGGTTACATCCCCAAAATTGATAGGGGGTGGTTCAGGAATAGTATGTGGGGCAGGTTGATCTATGATTGGAATGTTTGGCTCACTCTCAGAAGTTTGGGGATGGTTTTGAATAGTATCTTTAGGAGATGTAGTGGGGCTTTCTTCATCTTCAATATTAGTTGAGATAAGAACTCTCTATCTTTTCCTCTGTAAAGAACAAGTTGGAGTTACGATTTAGTTAGTTTTTCAAAGAATGATATAAGCTCAGAAGTGAGGAACTGTACTTGATAAGTATGATCTGAAGGATTTTGGGTTGTTTGGCCAAGCAATTGGCTTAGTGGAACATCCCATTCATTGAAAGAGGGATTGAAGTTTTCTTTAGGCAATGAGGCATCAAGAGCTTCTTGCCTCTTTTTAGTTCTTACTGAAGATTTTAGAGAAAAGAAAGAGTTCGAGAATGAGTGAAACCCCATCCCCTTTTATATTAAGCATAAAGCATAATTACAGGAGTGCCATAAGGCATGAATTATGGGCCAACTCATTACAACCCATTACATCAAATCAGAATAAAATATGAGAATATAATTTCCTATTCTAACAATGTAATTTTCTATTCTTACACTTCTCCTCAAGCTGGTGCAAAGATATTTCTTTTGCCCAGCTTGTTGAGAATGTTATGAAATGGTTTGCTCCCTATTCCTTTGGTGAGAACATCTGCTAGTTGGTCTCCAGTCGTCACAAATGGAGTACATATGGTGCCACTAGTGATGTTTTCCTTGATGAAGTGCCTATCAATCTCCACATGCTTGGTTCTGTCATGTTGAACTGGATTATGAGCTATGTTGATCGCCGCCTTGTTTTCATAGTACAACCTCATGGAATCGATATGATGGATCCCCAAGTCTTCCAACAATAGTCGAATCTATAGCAACTCACATACACCCTGAGTCATAGCCCTAAATTCGACCTCGGCACTAGATCTAGCAATTACATTCTGTTTCTTACTTCGCCATGTGACTAGTTTGCCTCTAACAAATGTACAGTATCCAAAAGTTGACCGTCTGTCAGTGACTGATCCAGCCCAATCCACATCAATAAATGCCTCCACACGGAGATGTCCATTTTTTAAGAAATGGAGTCCCTTCCCAAGAGAAGACTTCAAGTACCTCAGGATTCTCATAATGGCCTCTAAGTGGAAAGTTATAGGAGCATGCATAAACTGGCTAACCATGCTCACTGCAATGGTAATGTCTGGACGTGAGTGGGATAAGTATATGAGCTTACCCACTAGTCTCTGATATCTTCCCTGGTCCACTAGCTCTCCCTCTCGATCCTCACTTAGTTTTTGGCACGGTTCTAGATATCACATGGTCTACCTCTAAGCATCCCAGTTT